TATCCAGTAGTGCAATCGCCGGGTCACAGGGTAGCTCTATTTTTAATTTTTTGAGGAATCTCCACACTGTTTTCAAAGTGGCTACACCAACTTGCATTCCCACCAACAGTGTAAGAGGGTTCCTCCTTCTCCACATCCTCTCCAACATTTGTTATTTCCTGCCTTGTTAACCTTTGCAATTCTAACTGGTGCAAGATGGTATCTCAATGTGGTTTTGATTTGAATTTCCCTGATGGCTAGTGATGATTAACTTTTTTTCATGTGTCTATTAGCCATTTGTATGTCTTCATTGGAAAAGTACCTATTCATGTCTTCTGTCCATTTTTAAACAATGATTATCTATTTTTTGTGTGTTGAGTTTGAAAAGTTCTTTATAGATCTTGGATATCAACCCTATCAATTTCTGTAGTGTCATTTGCGAATATCTTCTCCCATTCCATGGGTTGTCTCTTTGTTTTGTTGACTGTTTCCTTGGCTGTGCAGAAGCTTTTTACCTTGATGTAGTCCCCAAAGTTCATTTTCGCTTTTGTTTCCTTTGCCTTTGGAAACCTGTCTTGAAAGAAGTGCTGTGGCCAGTGTTGGAGAGGTTACTGCCTATGTTCTCCTCTAGGGTTTTGATGGATTCCTGTCTCACGTTGAGGTCTTTCATCCATTTTGAGTTCATCTTTGTGTATGATGTAAGAGAATGGTAAAGTTTCATTCTTCTATATATAGCTGTCTAATTTTCCCAGCACCATTAATTGAAGAGACTTTTTTCCACTGTATATTTTTTCCTGCTTTGTTGAAGATTATTTGACCATAGAGTTGAGGGTCCATATCTGGGCTCTCTACTCTGTTCCATTGGTGTTTGTGTCTGTTTTTGTGCCAGTATCATGCAGGACCCATCCATATGCTGTCTACAAAAGATGCATTTTGAACCTAAAGTTACATCCAGACTGAAAGTGAAGATATGGAGAACCATCTTTCATGCCAGTGGGCCTCAGGAGAAAGCTGGGGTAGCAATTCTCACATCAGATGAATTATATTTTAAGCTAAAGACTATAGTCAGAGATACAGAAGGACACTACATCATTCTTAAAGGGTCTATCCAACAAGGAGATCTAACAATTATAAGTGTTTATGCCCCCACCTGAGAGCAGCCAACTACATAAGCCAACTGTTAATCAAAATAGTCATATTGATAAGAATATGTTAATTGTAGGGGATCTTAACATGCCACTCTCAGCAAGAGATAGATCCTCTAAGCAGAAAATCAACAAAGAAATAAGAGCTTTGAATGACACATTGGACCAGATGGACCTCATAGATATATACAGAACATTCTACCCTAAAACAACAGAATACTCAAGAATAGACCATATACTGTGTCACAAATCAGGTCTCAACTAATACCAAAAGATTGAGATTATTCCCTGGATATTCTCAGACCACAATGCTTTGAAACTGGAACTCAATCACAAGAAAAAGTTTGAAAGAAATTCAAACACTTGGAAGCTAAAGACCATCCTGGTCAAGAATGTTTGGATCAATCAGGAAATCAAAGAAGAACTTAAACAATTCACGGAAACCAATGAGAATGAAGACACATTGGTCCAAAACCTATGGGATATGGCAAAGGCAATCAAAGGGGATAATTCATAGCCATCCAAGCCTCACTCAAAAACATTGAAAAATCCCGAATACACAAGCACTCTTTACACCTTAAAGAATTGGAAAATCAACAACAAATTAAGCCAATCCCACCCACAAGAAGGGGAATAATTAAGATTGGAGCAGAGATCAATGAGTTAGAAACTAGAGATATATATAGTAGAACACATCAATGAAACTAGAAGGTTGTTCTTTGATAGAATTAATAAGATTGATGAACCACTGGTCAAACTAATCCAAAAGAAAAAAGACCCAAATTATTAAAGTTATGAATGAAAGGGGAGAGATCACGACTAACACCAAGGAAATAGAAACAATCATCAGAAATTATTATCAACGGCTATATGCCAGTAAGTTAAGCAACCTAGGGGAAATGGATGCATTCCTGGAAACCTATAAATTTCCAAGAGTGAAGCAGGAAGAAATTGACAACCTGAATAGACCAATTGAAGCAGTGATCAAAAACCTCCCAAAAAACAAAAGTCCAGGACATGACAGATTCCATGGGGAATTTTACCAAACCTTCAGAGAAGAAATGATACCTATTCTCCTGAACCTATTTCAAAAAATAGAAACAGAAGGAAAACTTCTATACTCTTTCTATGAAGCCAACATTACCCTGATCCCCAAACCAGGCAAAGACTCGATCAAAAAGGAGAATCTATAAAAAACTCCTCAAACTCAACACACGCAAAACAGACAATCATATAAAAAAATGGGCAGAAGATATGAACAGACACTTCTCCAATGAAGACATACAAATGGCTAACAGACACATGAAAAAATGTTCATCATCACTAGCCATCAGGGAGATTCAAATTAAAACCACATTGAGATATCACCTTACACCAGTTAGAATGGCCAAAATTAGCAAGACAGGAAACAACATATGTTGGAGGGGATGTGGAGAAAGGGGAACCCTCTTCCACTGTTGGTGGGAATGCAAGTTGGTGCAGCCTCTTTGGAGAACAGTGTGGAGATTCCTCAAGAAATTAAAAATAGATCTTACCTATGACCCTGCCATTGCACTACTGGGTATTTACCCCAAAGATACAGATGTAGTGAAAAGAAGGGCCATCTGTACCCCAATGTTTATAGCAGCAATGGCCACAGTTGCCAAACTGTGGAAAGAACCAAGATGCCCTTCAATGGACGAATGGATAAGGAAGATGTGGTCCATATACACTATGGAGAATTATACCTCCATCAGAAAGGATGAATACCCAACTTTTGTAGCAACATGGATGGGACTGGAAGAGATTATGCTGAGTGAAATAAGTCAAGCAGAGAGAATCAATTATCATATGGTTTCACTTATTTGTGGAGCATAACAAATAGCATGGAGGACATGGGGAGTTAGGAGAAGGGAGTTGGGGGAAATGGGAAGGGGAGGTGAGCGATGAGAGACAATGGACTCTGAAAAACAATATGAAGGGTTTGAAGAGGTGGTGGGGGGGAGGTTGGGGGAATCAGGTGGTGGGTATTAGGGCACGGATTGCATGGAGCACTGGCTGTGGTACAAAAACAATGAATACTGTTATGCTGAAAATAAATTGAAAAAATGATAAAAAAAAAGAATTTCAGACCAATATTCCTGATGAATGCGGATGTCAAGATTCTTAACAAGATCCTAGCTAATTGAATCAAACAGTACATTAAAAAAATTATCCACCATGACCAGGTGGGATTTAGCCCTGGAAGGCAAGGGTGGTTCAACATTTGCAAATCAATCAATATGATAGAACAAATCAATAAGAGAAGAGAGAAGAGCTACATGGTCCTCTCAATTGATGTAGAAAAGCATTTGACAAAATACAGCATCCTATCCTGATTAAAACTCTTCAGAGTATAGGGATAGAGGGAACATTTCTCAGCTTCATAAACTCCATCTATAAAAAACGCACAGCAAATATCATTCTCAATGGGAAAAAGCTGAGAACCTTCCCATTGATATCAGGAAAATGACAAAGATGTCCACTCTCGCTACTGTTGTTCAACATAGTACTAGAAGTCTTAGCAACAGCAATCAGACAACAAAAAGAAATAAAAAGTATTCAAATAGGCAAAGAAGATGTCAGACTCTCTTCACAGATGACATGATACTTTATGTGGAAAAACCAAAAGACTCCACCCCCAAATTATTAGAACTCATAAAGCAATTCAGTAATGTGGCAGGATACAAAATCAATGCGCAGAAATCAGTTGCTTTCTTATACACTAACAATGAAAACATAGAAAGGGAAATTAGAGAATCGATTCCATTTACAATAGCACCAGAAACCGTAAGATACCTGGGAATAAACCTAACCAAAGAGGTAAAGGATCTGTACTCGAGGAACTACAGAACACTCATGAAAGAAATTGAAGAAGACACAAAAAGATGGAAAAACATTCCATGCTCATAGATCAGAAGAATAAACATTGTTAAAATGTCTGTGCTTCCCAGAGCAATCTATATTTTCAATGCCATTCTGATCAAAATACCAGTGACATTTTTCAAAATGCTGGAACAAATAATCCTAAAATTTGTATGGAACCAGAAAAGACCCTGAATCACTTAGGAAATGTTGAAAAAGAAAAACAAAGCTGGGGTTGTGATGTTGCCTGATTTCAAGCTTTACCACAAAGCTGTGATCACCAAGACAGCATGGTATTGGCACAAAAACAGACACGTAGACCAATGGAACAGAGTATCTTTCAAAAAAAAGTTATCCCTTAGTCTTTGTTAGGTGGTCCACTTTTCCTTCCAGAGTTTCTACGAGAGTATGTCTGATGAATTGCTTGCTCTGTGGAGAGAAGTTCTGCCATGTTCTTGTTGGGCACTTGTGGTGTTTGTCATATTCAATCTGTGTTCTTTTTCAGAGGAATCTTTGAAGTCCTTTGTCTCTACTTTGCAGGTCAGGTTGTCTAAAATTAGATAATATAATCTGGACTGAGTCATAATAATCTGTCATAAGTGCCAGTAGGTTGAAGGAAGATGTATGTTGGAGGACTTGGCTCTGGTGTGGGACTTGCCTCTTCCATCAGCCTGCCTCTGGCATGACTATCACACCCAGGTAGAAAGAAGGTGCCTTTATCCACATCAGTATTAACTGTTATTGAACCTTAATCTCTCTCCTATTTTAGCCAGCAAAGAATTAAGACAGTAATAAAGGATTCCTCCCATGTCCAAATGATCATGGCGTGCCTCTGGGACTTGCATACCCACCCAAGGGCCTGGCTGCTGATGTACTGTCCCCATTGTTACAGTGCTTTTTATGGCGTGGCTTTCTGCACACAGAGAAGTTCGTTTCTGGTGTGTCAAACAGCTATCCAAAAATAAAGTCTAAGCCACATTTTCTGTGTTCTAGGAGCAAGGTGAGGAAGATAAGAAGCCCAGAGATGGTGCCACCCCATTGAGTCACGGTAATCAGCCCCATCATTTACAATTTTAGTACGCAATGAATAACTTTTAAATGAAGTTTTTATTAGATTGCTTTTGTTGTTTTAGGTTTATTAATTAAGCTTGTAATCGTAGTATCATTTATTGTCATTGCTGTTAACATACTGTTCTGGAGACTTTATCAGAGTCATCTAAGATTTCCAAATATGTACAGCAAGAAAAATGCTGAAGCTCTGGCCTCATTTATTTGCCTTTTAAAAATGCTGTAAGTAAAACAACTTCCATTTTATAAACCTTCCCTGAGAACAAGACAATAAGCAATGCTACTTAATTTAGTGTAATTCTTTGCTTGAGCTTTTCCCAGGGTAGTTTCATCTTCTAATGATCACATTTGTGCTCTTCCACTGAAGTCTTGTTTTGGAGGAGATTGCACATTTGCTCTAAATTGAATATCCCTCATTATGGTTAATACATCAGTAGGTTTTAGATAATAGCTTATTAGTATTCAGCAAATTCTCTGATGTTTTAAATTTATTTATTTTTTTTATTTAAAAGAGAAAGCACAAGTTGGGGACATGCAGAGGGAGATGGCGGGAGAGACCCTTTAGCAGTCTCCATGCCCACCACGGAGCTCAACACAGGGCTTGATCTCACAATGGTGAGATCATGACCTGAGCCGAAATCAGGAGTCGGATGCTTAACGAACTGAGCCAGGCAGGTTCCCCTCTGATGTTTTTTGTTTAAATCAACAAATGCAGATGGTATTTTCCTAGAATATATATTCCATTATTTTATGATTATTACTATACAAGCAGACACCTGCTATTAAATTTTCTGTAAAATATAGTTGAATTTTCAGCATTTGTGCTCCATGGGAAGGAAGCATATACATTTGATAAATCTTTTCTAATGATCTTTTGAAAGTATGTTTAACATTTGTTGAATAAGCTTTTTTTTAATAAACAATGGCAACAACTAAAAATACCTTGAAAAAAATGACAAGCAAAAATTGAGGTTTTTAAAGACCATTTTATATTGTTCAGTTTGGGGACAAAATATTGAAAATTCGTGATCTTCCGTTTAAATGCTCTTAAAATAAAAGTTGTTTTCTGCTCTAAGCAAAATATGCTGCTTTAAATTCTCTTCTTCTCTTGCTGTCAGACAGTCATGTTCTTTGCTGAGAAAGCAAAATAGAATACAGTAATTTGATAATTATGTAACTTGATGTTCAACTCCATTGAGATACATTTTAGTTATGCAACATTGGAATTCTAGAAATAAATTTGGACTGTACTAGTTCCTAACAGTGGGGCTTTTTTAAACATTATTTTTTCCTTTGTAAGAGAGAATTTGTGATTTATAATGTTGTTCTCCTCTGCAGATATATTTTCACTCTAATGCAAATTGTTCTAGATTCTTCTACTCCATGGTTATAGCATTTATTCTAGAAAAAGAAGATGCAATTAGGCCAACAATTTAAGAATGTTTGGTCCTCAAAATTTAGATTTTTTAGTAATTTAGTATTTATAGTTTCATATAGCCAAATATATGTTTGTTGTAAATAGTATTTTCAGTTTTATTGGAAGTGCCTTTTTGCTCTTGTTCTTCCATTGTCAGACTCGTTTTTATGGTTAGTGGTCCATTCTCAAAAGTTTTCACCTGTGGTTTATTCTCAAATCTGAGGTTGTTGCTGTTTGTCCCAACTATTGTCCATAGGTACATGTTTAGAAGAAGGATGAGATTAATTTGTGCATACAGATGCAACAGACTGCTAGTGGAAATGGAAATTAAATTATTTGAGGGGGCTTTTGAGGTCCTGCTTTTAGTGGGATGAAGGAAACTCTTCTCTAAATTGCCTATTGTAATATTATAGTGAAGATTTTCTTACTCTAATTCCTGAAAATTGTTTAATTTTTTTCTGCAGGCTTCTTGCAAGACAAAAGATTTAGTCCTTACTTATTTCTTAAAAATAATAACAAAAGAAAAGCAAAAAAATTGAATACATACATATTTATATGTAAACAGAAAATTGTATTAAAAAATAAACACAATTCTTTGTCCTGATTTTACAAGGAAAACATTTCTTTGGAAATCATTACAAAATAATTTACTGAGAGCACAATCTGTGCCCTAATACTGTCCTGTGTTATAGATGATGAAGCTTTGAGAGGCCCTTTGACTTTTTTAGGGTAGACAACTAGTGAATGGTGGATCCAGGGTTTAAGCCCACATCTAGTAATTCTTAAGCTTATGTCCTTTCTGCTTTACCTGTTATTTAACATCCTCCTTTCTTTGTAGCTATTAAGACAAAAATACAGAAAATGAATCTTGCTAAGAAATGTGATGGGAAAGATAACTGCTCATAATCAAGGTGCTAATGCTGTGTAATCCAGCCCTCTGTGTCCTAGGAATTGGCTGAACTAGATTTTTCCCAACATAGTCATGCCTTGGAATTAATTTTGTTTGTTTTTTTTGGAAACTCTCTGAGCTAGAGTATTCCTGGTGATTCAGAAATCTTAACAATTGCCTTGGATACCTCTAAGAAAAAGTTTGTTTTAGTAAGTATTATTTGTTAATAATTATTTATGACTTAAGGTATCCAGTTAGTATTATTAATCACTCTGTAATCCCAGACCTCCACATTTGAAGTCTCCAAGATAAAAACAGCTCATTTCTTCTGTTAGATGAGTGATCTGGCTTTTTCCCTTCTAAATTTTAAGTGTTTTTTTTAACCAATGCTAATATTTTTTTGGTTGAGTGTTGGGGCAGTGAGGTCTTTATAAACATAAAAAGAGTAGAAGAAATTATAAAGGAAAATGATATATATAAATTAAATAATATATAAATATATTTATATGCATATAAATATATTTATATATAATATATATAAAATATATATAAATTAGACTTTGTACATCAAAGAACATCGTAATAAAAATTAAACTGGAAATAAACCAGCAAATATTTACCACAACTACTGACTGAAGGTCCATGCACACAATGGATTTAGAAGAAATAATGAGATACACTGAGATCTCAGTGCAGAAATAGACAAAAGACATGAACAGGCAATTCATGGAAGATGGAATAAAAGTAGCTAAAGCAGAAATGTGTTAAATACATTTAATTTACTAGAAAGCAAAGAAATACACGTTTAAATGTAATGATGAACATTTTTTTGGCCTCCTAATTAACAATTAAGAAACATGCTGACACCACTTGCTGGTGGACAAGGGAGCTGGCTGTCCGTACACTGCTATTGTGAGTGCAAGTTGTTCCATTGTTTTAGGGAACATATTGTTGGCATTTATTGTTAAATAAACATTTCCTTCAACTCTGGAACTCTATTTTTTGGAATTTCTCCCAGTGAAGTAAGCCATCTGCATTTGAAGGTATGCATATGATATTGGTTGTGGTACTGATTATAAATGGAGAAGAGCTGGGAATAATATAATTGTCCTATGAATTTCGAATAGGTAAAACATTATGGTACAACTGTGTGTAGACAGTTGTGTGGTCACTTAAGTGCTTTGGAAAAAAATTAACTTACATGGGAGGGAAAGCTTATGGTAACATATTAAGGAGGAAAACTCAGATGAGTAATTTCAGTGATGGTTGAAAAAAATCACCTATCTATAGCATGGAAAGAAAGATGTTAACAATTATTATCTCTAAGTTGTGAAATAAAAGAATGTTTTCTATAATTTCTAAGGTTTTTGTTTTGTTTTATTTTGTTTGTGGGTTTTTATTTTTTGCAATTAGTAGGTAATCATGGGACAGTCAGGTAAATATTCAAAAAATAATTTGGAAAATTCTGAACATAAAAACTTCAGTTTATGGAGTAGAGGATGCTGTTGGAATGTCTGTTTTTGGATTTCTTCTTTTTTTGTAAGTAAACTTTTCATTTTGGAATAATTTTAGATTTGAGAAAAGTTGCATAGTACAGGTAGTCTTGTATGCCCTTCCCCAGTTTCTGCTAACATCCGTCTGTATCTTATATGACTGTAGGACATTTGTCTGAACTAAGAGATTAACGTTGGTACATCATGTCAACAAACTGCTTAGTTTATTCAAATTCCACCGAATTTTTTACTAATGCTTTTTCTCCAGATTATCATTAGAGGCCTCTGGGCATCTGGCACTTTGACCGGCACCTGCTACTGAACCCTGCCTTCCCCTGTTTTGCTTTAGCCCAACAGAGTATGCTGTCTTGGGGCACCTGGTTGGCTCAGTCAGTTACAAGTCTGCCTTCGGTTCAGGTCATGATCCCAGGGTCCTGGGATGGAGCCCCAGTTGAGCTCCCTGCTCAGCGGGGAATCTGCTTCTCCCTCTGACCCTTACCTTGCTAGTGCTCTCTCTCTCACTTTCTCTGTCTTTGAAATAAATAATAAAATCTTTAAAAAAACAATAATGTGCAGTCTAGACCTTTTGCTGTCTTTTGCCTGGAGGCCTCTTCTGGCTTATCCAAGTAGCTGGCTCCCTCAGAACAGCATTATCTTCTCTACTTTCCTTATTTTGTGTTTTTCTCCCTCTTCTGTTTTCTCTCAGCATACCCTAGGGCATTTGGCTTTTAAAAATTAAGTTATACTGGGGTGCCTGGGTGGCTCAGTGGTTAAAGCCTCTGCCTTCGGCTCAGGTCGTGGTCTCGGTCCTGGGATCGAGTCCCGCATCGGGCTCTCTGCTCAGCAGGGAGCCTGCCTCCTCCTCCTGTCTCTTTCTGCCTGCCTCTCTGCCTACTTGTGATCTGTCAAATAAGAGAAAAAAAAATCTTAAAAATTAAGTTATACAATATGCTTTGTCTCCCACTTAAATTGGGTATCTTTTAAAAAGGCATGTCATCAGGTCCAATCCAGCTGGTAGGATTTACCATTTAGTATACTAAAGTAATAATTTACTAGCGCTCTGAAGGATTAATTAGCTCAATGGCCTGAAGAAGAATTAGCACAGCTTCCAAAAGTGCTTAACTTACTTTCAGGGAGTAGTTTTGGTGCTGGGGGATATGGTTCATTAAATGATTCTGAAA